TATATTCAAATCAATGGGAGATTACTTCTCCTTCAGACATCCCATGAAAGTGGGAAGGTCAAGAAGAGTATGGGGCAAATGTTCCAGGTCCAGCACCTATCTCTAAAGTCCTTTAGAATGCCTGGACAATGCACTCGCATAGCCTTCTTTAATGGTAAGTTCTATGAAGTTTATTGGACTACAGCCAAAGATGTGAATATTGCTATCGATTCACAGGCTGCTTCGTAGCCTTTCCTGTCAGTCAAATAATGACAGGTCTTCAGGGCAATCAAATAATGGGGACAGTTTCAGAAAGAGAATGGTTTCTCACTGAAAATCACTTCCTTCCAACAATTTTTATGCATGCTTGGCCAAAAATAAATATGTGGTCCTCTTTTTCCCAGGAGATCATAGCAATCATAGATAGGGAAGGATAGTCAGATGTCCTTCTCACACTCTTTCATTTTAAACAATAGCCTTAGAAGCTGCATAGTAAAGAAAAAGAATGGAAAACTACATGTAATATGTAGTTCTGTCCTCAGATAAGTACAGTAATGTAACATTTTTTTATAGGGACTAAAAAACTAGAAGACTTCTTTACCCATTCCCTAATACTGTCGGTACAGATCTGAGACCGCTTATGCAGCACATGTGTGCTTTGCGATACATATTTACCTGTGGTTTATAATTTTGCTTACAATTACTTTATCAGAAGAACCACAGGGCTGAGAAGTTTAAGTAAAACAAATCAGCGTATGAGGCCCACGTTTTTCACCTAGGCCATATTTCTGTAATCCTTTCACAATCTGATCAGAAAGTTTTCTTTAAGACCTAACTAGCAGTCAGAACCCATCAATGTAGCTGATTATTTTACATCAGCAAGCTGGATTTCATGACCCCTGAGTTCTGCTTATATTTCCCCTCTATCCATTTTCCCTCCTGGTCCCTCATCACCTAAAGCTTTTCCCTTCAGCTGTACATCCCCAATCCATCCTCTTTTCCCATCACTCATTCAGAGAAGTCCTATTCCCAAGAGTGTTTGCAGAGAAGAGGAGTGATCCACAACAAATTGAGAGAGCAGCTGCAATCATGCAGTCAAAGCCCCGATCCTTTTTAATGTGCGTCTCGTGCAACACATGTAAAAAAGATGCAGGGATTCAGTTGTGAGGTCACCACAACCATCTTTTTTTTAAACACTTGCCTCCCCGCTGCTCCTGCCCATGGAGGTTCCTGCATGAAACTACTTGGAGCAAGCCAGGGTAGATATACTTCCCTTTACTACACCCTTTGTTTTAGCTTCTCACACAAGACAGACAGATTTACATGATGGGAGGGTCCACAAGACCCTTAAAGAGCCAAGAAGGAATGGCATTAGCATGTCTTTATTATTAAAAAAAATAATTGGCAACTGCTTGTTCTGCAGAGAGAAGGCAGCCGCAGCATTGCCATTTTCATTACACCATTGCCTCTGGGCTTGGTTACCAACATTCACTATTTTAGTTTCCAGATATTAATATAATCCAATTTGATTTACATCTCAGAGAGAAGGACTATAGCTGGGTAATCAGCATACCTCCTAGAACTACTTTTCAGATGCTAACAATTGATGAGAAAGCACAAAGTCCATGCTGCTGTTCCTAACTCATGATCACCCTTTAAAGTAGAACACACAGAGCTGGTTCATGGGAATGGTGGTTTCAAACTGTGCTTTGACTTGCAGGTTACTCTAATCAGTCTAAGGAGTGAAATAAATTAAGTAGAGACTTGATATGAGGAACTGTTCTTAGTTCTTTTCCTCAATGGCTACTAGTTGTCCTTCTCACTGTAGCCAAAGAGCAATTTAATACCTAACATCTCTTGCATAAGCAAGGGTATTAAACAATTACAACACCTTGGCTGGTGGATGGATAGAAGTCATGCAGGCCTGAGAGAAATTTGCGCTTTGAGACCTTTTCAGATTGATCAAAGCTTTGCTTTTTCTGCCTGCATCAAGACAAAAGAGTGAAGAACGAGGCAGTGGTTAAAATCTAAGACCAGGATCAATAGGGTGTAGGGTTGGATTCAAAACCTCACTAAGCCACATAGTTCACTGGTAAACTATGGATCATTCATCCATCTAAAGTGCCTCAGAAAATTATTGTGAGGATCAAATAGGGGAAGAGCAGACCCTTTAGGTTCTTGGACCCCTGGTCAGAAAGGCAGGGAAAACCTTTAATAAATGAACATTATTCATAGATGTTAAAAGAAAAGCATTGGCATTACCTGGCTGAAAATGTGGTGGTGACAGGTGATGGCAGCAGGAACACCTACAAAAATTGGGAGAAGAGACAGAAAAATTGCACTGTCAGATTCAGGCAGAGGACAATTAAAATTTTAACTGACTGATCTGAATGAGATAATCATTTGGCTAAGCACAATTGCAGCACAAGCACATTCAAAAGAAGAATGATCATACTTACTATTTCAAAGCTAAATCAGGTCATGAAATGTTGAGAATGGTTAGATGATCCTCAGAATTAATTAGGCCAACAGGATGTACCTGTCCTGCTTATGAGCTATGGCCAGGAATATGACATCAGAAGTAAGTGGAGGCACAAGAAAACCAAGAAAAGAGAGAGAGCGTAATTTTTTAAAAAAAGATTGAAATGTGTATGCTGTAAGACATAGTGCAGCTAATACACTGGCCTAGGTACAATTAAAGACTGTTGCAAATATGGATGTTGATTCTAACCACTCATACCATCCAACCATCATCTTTTTAGAAGGTTAGAGGGCCTGCAACATGATAACTGGGAATAAAATGAGATATAATTGATTCTGCTGAAACGTGCTCCCTATAAAATAAGGAATTCTCCAGTTATTTCTGTTACAAACCGACATTACATAATTTAATGCCAGAACATTTATATGCCAGAAATATAAATAATTTTTAGGGAATGAACACAAATTATTTATTCAAGAACCAATAATCAGAAGAGTACAGTATGTGTAACTCAATACATTTGCTTTGAATTACTGATTAACTTCACAGACCTGGCATTTGACATAATTTGGAATTGTTGTGTCATGGAAACTTATTTAATACTCTGCTATCTAGGGAAAGATGTGTTCACTTTTACTCTCTATATTTGCTCAATGATCCACAAAACAATTTCTCCTGCCTTCACAATTGTCAAATTTGCTTTGGTGAAGAACTTGATCAAAAGCCTTTTTAAAGTTCAAGTTTATCATGTGTACAGGATTACTTGTCTACATGC